TTTCAGTCCTGTGTTATATCATTAACAGCTGTAGGAAATTGGATGATCTTTTCTATACCAGAAATTTAATTTATTGGTTTCTGGGCACAGGACTATGTGAGATTCTGGGACCTAGCCAAGTAGAGTTGTTAAATTCACTGTCCTTATTCTCAAAGAGCCAAGATTCTTTGGGAAATGATGCATAGAGGCAGGAAATAATGACGCTGGTAATAATTATGATGAAAACAGCTAAAACTGTAAAATAGTACAAGGAAAGACTAAGTGTTAGCCTGTAGCTGTTAAAACAATACACAGCCACGAAGAATGGTCTTAGGTTTGGATTGATAATCAAATTAATGGTACATAACGTACTTGAACCCTGCATTAAATTCACTTAGCTTCATGAAAGGATAGAGTATAGGAGACATAGCAGCCACACCATTATTCTCAGGAGGTTTTGTACCAGTGTCTGGGGCAGCTTCCAGGGCATAGGGGCCAAGCTTGTTTGATAGAGATGAGGGTGACTTGGAAGAAAATCACTTCATTATCAGGGAAGCAAGTGCCTTTATTTTCCTGTATTCCCTCCTCTTTCCCCAAACTATTTTTTTTTTTTTTTTTTGAGATGGAGTTTCACTCTTCGCCCAGGCTGGAGTGCAGTGGCACAATCTCTACTCACTGCAACCTCCACCTCCCGGATTCAAGTGATTCTCTTGCCTCAGCCTCCCGAGTAGCTAGGACTACAGGCACGCGCCAGCATGCCCAGCTAATTTTTGTATTTTTAGTAGAGATGGGGTTTCACCATATTGGCCTGACTAGTCTCGATCCCTTGACCTTGTGATCTGCCCGCCTTGGCCCCCCAAAATGCTGGGATTATAGTCGTGAGCCACAAGGCCCAGGCTATTGTCTTTTAAAATGCTCACATCTGTAATCCTAGCACTTTGGGAGGCCGAGGCAGGTGGATCACGAGGTCAAGAGATCGACACCATCCTGGCCAAGATGGTGAAACCCTGTCTCTACTAAAATACAAAAATTAGCTGGTCGTGGTGGCACGCACCTATAGTCCCAGCTACTCGGGAGGCTGAGGCAGGAGAATTGCTTGAAACAGGGAGGCAGAGGTTGCAGTGAGCCAAGATTGTGCCACTGCATTCCAGACTGGTGTCTAGTGTCTGGCAACAGAGTGAGACTCTGTCTCAAAAAAAAAAAAAATTAGCCAGTATAGTGGCAGGTGCCTGTAATCCCAGCTACTCAGGAGGCTGAGGCAGGAGAATTGGTTAAACCCAGGAGGCGGAAGTTGCAGAGGGCCAAGATTGTGCCACTGCATTCCAGCCTGGGTGACAGAGTGAGACTCTGTCTAATAAATAAATAAATAAATAAATAAAATGGCATATCCATTTATTTATCCCTCTATCCATCTGTTAATCTGTCTTATGTTTTCAGGCACTTCAGAGTAAGTTGCAGATATTAATACATTTCACCTCTAAATACTTAAGCATGTATATCATTAAGTAGAATTCAGTATTGTTTCTGTTTTTTTCTGAGGTAAAATTTACATATAGTCAAATGTACAAATTTTTAGTTTACCATTTGTTTAGTTCAGCACTTCAACAGCTATTCGTTAGCCATTCACAGAGCTTCCTTTTTAATGTGTCTGTTGAAAGTTTTGACACATTTAAAACAATTTATGATTGACATATAATGATTGTACCTTTTTATGGGGCGCAATGTGATGCTTTCACACCTGTATACATTGTATGCTGATCAAATCAGGGTGATTAGCAAGCATATCCATCACCTTAAACATTTATCATTTCTTTGTGATGAGAACATTCAAAAAGATCTCTTCTAGCCTAGGCAACACAACAAGAACCCATCTCTACAAAAAATTAAAAAAGAAAATTGCCGGGATTGGTGGCATATACCTGTAGTTGTAGCTACTTGAGAGGCTGCCACGGGAGGATCACTTGAGTGCAGGAGTTTAAAGCTGCAGTGAGCTATGATTTTGCCACTATACTTCAGCCTGGGCAACAGAGCAAGACCTTGTCTCTTAAAAAACAAACAAAACAAAAAATCAGTTGACTATGTTTGTGTCAGTCATTTCTGGACTCTATTCTGTTCCACCGATCTACTTGCCTGTGTTTTTGCTAATACCACACTGTCTTGATTAATGCAGCCTTATAATAAGTCCTGGAATTGGGTAATATGAATCCTCCAACCTTATTCTTCAGTATTATGTTAGCTATTCTAGGTCTTTTGTCTTTCCATGTAAACTCTACAATCAGTTTCTCAATAGATACAAAATAGCTTGCTGAGTTTTTGACTGGGTTTACTTTGAATCTATACATTGAGATGGAAAGAGCTGATATCATAATATTGAGTCTTCCTATCCATGAACATAGAATATTTCACCATTTGTTTACATCATCTTTGATTTCTTTCATCAGTGTTTGTAGTTTTTCATGTATAGATTATATACATGTTTTATTAGAGTTGAACCTAAGTATTTAATTTTTTTGGTGGTCTGTGTGTATGTGTGTGTATAAAATTTAAAATTCAAATTGTTTATTGCTGGTATATAGGAAAGCAGTTGCCATATAGAAAAGCAGATGATCTTATATCCTGCAACCTTGCTATATTTGCTTATTAGTTCCAGGAATTAAAAAAAATTTCTTTTTGTAGATTCTTTGGGATTTCCTATGTAGACAGTCATGTCATCTGTGAACAAAGACAGTTTTACCTCTTCAAATATGTGTACATTTTCTTTTTCTTGTCTCATTGCAATAGCTAGGACTTTCAGTGCAATGTTGAACAGGACTGGTGAGAGAAGACATCCTTGCCTTGTTTTCAGTTATCCAGGAAAAACATCTAGTCTCTCACTATAAAGCAGGATGTTTGTTGTAGGTTTTTTGTAGATGTTCTTTGTCAGTTGAGGAAGTTCTGCTGTGTTTCTAGTTTGTTGAGAGGTATTACTTTTTATTTTTATCTTTATTTTTTTTGAGACAGAGTTTCGCTCTATCAGCCAAGCTGGAGTGCAACAGCGTCATCTCAGTACACTGCAACTTCCGCCTCCTGGGTTCAAGGGATTCTCATGCCTCAGTCTCCCAAGTAGCTGGTACTATAGGCATGTGCCACTACACCCAGCTAATTTTTGTATTTTTAGTGGAGACGGGGTTTACCATGTTGGCCAGGCTGGTCTTGAGTGCCTGACCTCAAGTGATCTGCCTACCTTGGCCTTCCAAAGTGCTGGGATTACAGACATGAACCACCATGCCTGGCCGAGAGTTTTTACTTTTTATAAATTTTATTTAGTTTTTAAAGACAGGGTCTTAATTTAATTTTATTTTATTATTTATTTTTTGAGACAGAGTCTCGCTCTGTCACCTAAGCTGGAGTACAGTGGTATAATCTTGGCTCACTGCAACCTCCACCTCCTGGATTCAAGTGCTTCTCCTGCCTCAGCCTCCTGAGTAGCTGGGATTACAGGTGCCCACCACCATGCCTGGCTAATTTTTTTTTTTTTTTTTTTGAGATGGAGCCTTGCTCTGTCACCCAGGCTGGAGTGTAGTGGTGTGATCTTGGCTCAGTGCAACTTCCACTGCCCAGGTTCAAATGATTCTTGTGCCTCAGCCTCCCGAGTAGCTAGGATTACAAGTGCATGCCACCACGTCCGGCTAATTTTTGTATTTTTAGTAAAGACGGGGTTTCAGCATCTTGGCCAGTCTGGTCTTGAACTCCTGACCTCGTAATCTACCTGTCTCAGCCTCCAAAAGTGCTAGGATTACAGGCGTGATCTACTGCACCGGCTAAATTTTGTATTTTTAGTAGAGACAGGGTTTTGCCACATTGGCCAGGCTGGTCTCAAACCTGTAACCTCAGGTGATCCACCTGCCTTGGCCCTCCAAAATGCTGAGATTACAGGTGAGAGCCACTGTGCCCGACCAGAGACAAGGTTTTGCCATGTTGGCCAGGCTGGTCTCAAACTCCTGGGCTCAAATAATCCTCCTGCCTTAACCTACCAAAGTGTTTGGATTACAGGCATGAGCCACCACACCTGGCAGCTGAGAATTTTTATAATCATTAGGTCTTGGGTTTTGTCAAATGTATTTTCTGCATCAAATCACATGATCATATGATTTTGTTTCTTTAACCTATTGACATGGTGGATTACAATGATTGATTTTCTTTTCTTTTCTTTTTTTAGCCCATGAGCCTAGTTTATGACGTTCCATTGTGCAAAACTCCTGTCCCCAGCACTGAGTGTGGCCCAAGCCGCACAGCAGCTGCCAAGGGACCCAACTGCCCTGCCTGGCTCTAGCTCCCAGCATTGCTACTGGGCAGGCCATAGGTACTGGAGTTTGTCCCACTGTCCCCTGTCCATCCATGTCAGAGGGGCCAGGCCATCGTGGTGGGGTGGGGCAAGAGTGTAGCTGTGGCCGAGGGCTTGTGAGTAGGCCTCCTACTCTACAGCGCTGGTGCAGGAGGAACTCTGGAAGCCCTGCACTCAGTGATACAGCTTCCAAGGTGTTCCTGAGTAGCAGGCATTGTCCCTCAGGAGGGGTGACCCCAGAGCCATGAGCACCCTGTTCCAGTGGGGGACTTTTTTTGCAGATGGGCTTGAGGGAGCAGGGAACCCCGCATGGCAGGTACCAGTTGAGTTGGGGGTTTGCTTTTCAGAACAACTCCTTCAGGAAGCCGAGGCTCATGATTTGGTAATGGACCTGCCCTGTAGGCCATCTTCACACATTCCTTGATCTTGGGGTGCTCTTCCCAGGGTAGGCCTGTCATCTTTCAGGCCAGCATGCCTCCGTGAGGCCAGATGAGCTGGCTAAGCAGCAGAACATCATCATAGCTATATTTGTGCTTCAGGTTCCAGCGGCAGTTGGGGCACTGGCCAGAGGGGTTAGGAGGATTTGGACTCTCCTTGGGAGTCGCTGTGATATGGCCTTCAATTATAGTTGACTTCTCTTCTTGGATCTCCACCACTTCCCTGAACCCGCGAGCTGGAAGTGGAGACCAGCTGGTCACTGCTGGCCTGCTAGGAGCCCATGGGGAGCCTGCCCACAGCTGGACACCAGAGCCTTGAAGCCATCATCTTGAAAAACCAACACTGACCTCTGCAATGATTGATTTTCAAATGTTGAACCAGCTTTGCAAAACTATAATAAACCCAAGTGTGGTGTGTAATTATTCTTTTTTTTTTTTTTTTTTTGGTTATAAAAGTGGTATCTTTGTTACCCAGGCTGGAGTGCAATGGCGCGATCTCGGCTCACCACAACCTCCGCCTCCCGGGTTCAGGCAATTCTCCTGCCTCAGCCTCCTGAGTAGCTGGGATTACAGGCACGTGCCACCATGCCCAGCTAATTTTTTGTATTTTTAGTAGAGACGGGATTTTACCATGTTGACCAGGATGGTCTCGATCTCTTGACCTCGTGATCCACCCGCCTCGGCCTCCCAAAGTGCTGGGATTACAGGCTTGAGCCACCGCGCCCGGCCCGTGTGTAATTATTCTTATACATTTCTGCATTTGATTTGCTTGTATTTTGGGAGGAGGGTATTCCATCTCTGTGAGATACATTGATCTATAGTTTTAATTTCTAATGTTTTTATCTAGATTGGTTATTAGGGTAATGCTGGATTCATAGGATGGGTTAGGAAAGGTTCCCTCCGCTTCTATTTTCTGGAAGAGATGGGGTCTTCTAGAGTAAAAAAGTTTTTTTTTTTTTTCCTTGAGATGGGGTCTTGCTCTGTCACTCAGGCTGGAGGTCAGTGGCACAATCTTGGCCTACTGCAACTTCTGCCTCCTGGGTTCAAGTGATTATCCTGCCTCAGCCTTCTGAGTAGCTGAAGTTACAGGCATGTGCCACCAAGCCTGGCTAATTTTTGTATTTTTAGTAGAGACAGGGTTTCAGCACATCGGCCAGGCTGCTCTCGAACTCCTGACCTCAGGTGATCCACCCGCCTCAGACTCCCAAATTGATAGGATTATAGACATGAGCCACCAAAAACAGTTTTAACGTTGGTGAAGTCTGGTTTATTATTTTTTCTTTCATGGATTGTGGTTTTGGTGTCATGTCTAAGAACTCTTTGCCAAGCACTAGATCCCAAAATCAATCTTCTCCTGTATTTTCTTCTAACATTTTTATATTTAAATTTGTGATTCATTTTGAATTTGTTTTCATATAAAGTGTGAGGTTTTAGGTTGAGGTTAATTTTTTTGTCTATGAATGTCTAGTTGTTCCAGTGCCATTTGTTGAAAAGTCTATTCTCCATTGAATTGTATTTACAAAAATCCAATTTGGGGTATTTGTGTTGTTCTCTTTCTGGGTTCTCGGTTCTCTTCTATTGATCTGTGTGTCTATTCTTCCGTCAATACCCTGTCTCAAGTATTACAGTGATCAAATACTAAGTAGTAAGTTTAATATCAGGTAGAGTGATCCCTCTTACTTGGTTCTAGTTTCTTTGCCTTATCATATACATTATATGATAAATTGTCTAAATCTACAAAAAAATTTGGTTGGGATTTTGATAGGAATTTTGTTAAATCTATAGATCATTTTGGGGAAGACTGACATCTCTACTATGTAGAGCCTTCCAGCCTATGAACATGCTGTGTCTCCCCATTGATCTAGATCTTCTTTGATTTTTCTTCCATTGGCATTTTGTAGTTTTCAGTGTACAGATTTTATACTTGTTTTGTTGGATTTATGTTAGACACCTCATTTTTGGGGTAGGGCTTATAAATGCTATTATGTTTTTAATTTCAGTTTCCACATGGTTGATGCTAATCTGTAGGAATACAATGGATTTTTGTGTGTTCATCTTGTATCTTTCAATCCTCCTGGACTCACTTATTAGTTACAAAAAAATTTTTTTTTTTTTTGAGATGGAGTCTTGCCCTGTCCGCCAGGCTGGAGTGCAGTGGCTCGATCTTGGCTTACCACAACCTCTCCCTCTCGGGTTCAAGTGATTCTCCTGCCCCAGCCTCCTGAGTAGCTGGGACTACAGGTGCACACTGCCATGCCCAGCTAATTTTTTTGCATTTTAGTGGAGACAGGATTTCACCATGTTGCCCAGGCTGGTCTTGAACTCCTGAACTCAGGCAACCTACCCACCTCGGCCTCCCAAAGTGCTAGGATTACAGGTATGAGCCACCACGTCCAACCACATAATTATTTTTATAGATTCCTTTGCATTTCCTACACAGAAAACCATGTCCTTGGCAAATAGGGATCCTTAACAGTCTCTATGCTTTTTACTTCCTTTTCTTGCCTTGTTGTACTGGACAGAATGTTTGATTACTTTTTGAGAACCAAAAATTATTTACTTATTTTAAAAATCAGTTTTCACTTAAATAGAAAACATTCTATTGCTTAATTATAGCAAATAGTAATAGGAAATGTTTACTACATGTCAGGCATTGATATAAGTGCTTTATCTTTATTAAGTCATTTAATCTCATGACTTTGACAGTAGGTGTCATTATCAAGCCCATTTTATAGATGTGGAAACTAAGACACAGAGAGGTTATGTAAGTTTCCCAAGGTCACATACTGTGTAAGTGGCAAAGCTGGGATTTGGACTTGTGTGGTCTGACTCCATAGACTGGGCTTCTACTACATCCACTGTGCAAAAAGCCTAGCTTCCATTGTAGCTGAGCCGGTTTTATGCTTCAGTGGAAGAACTAGATGGGGAGAGGAGTTAAGAGAGAAATGGAGAGAATGCTGAAGCATGAAAGACACAAAGCTTGAGCAAGATAAATTATGAGACCTGGGATATAAAAAGAAAAGGGGAAAGATCGCTGAGAATATGAGAATCAGAATGTGCCAGAAGCAGCAGGTCATGGAAAGCGTATAAGGGACAGCAGCCCACATCACTGCCCGTTCAGGCCTTGGCTGCCTAATCCTGGGTCCTGACCTGCTGTCTAGACATTTTGTCCTCCCTCCTACACTGTGCCATGCGGCCTGACTGCCTGGGCTGCTGGGCTATAGATGTGACATCCCTCCCAAAACTTCTCACACACTCAAGGATTTCAGCATCTACAGTTTCCTACTCTTAGCTCAGCGTCATTATTATTCTCTACTTCTACACTTCGGTGCTGGGTTTCAGTAAATCTCTTTTATAGCCCAGCTCTCGGGAGGATGCTAAGAAACTCTGGCTTGGTAACTTTGCCCTGTGCTTCTCCAGCCCCTACTGTCATCTTTGATCTGATAGAAGCTCAATTAGTTTAGCTTTAGAACCTGGAATTATACATTACCAACTCCTAGAGTGCCAAGGACCACTTAGAAGGTGGGCAAGAAGATCGATGTATACCTGAGAACAGGAGGAAGAGGCTGAGTCAGAAAAGAGGTACTCAAGGTGATCAGAGGCAGCTGGGAATAATGTGCAAATGTTCCCCAAAGTCCACAGGGTGAGGTTAAAAATCGAAGGCAAGTCTGAGGCGGGCAGATCACTTGAGGTCAGGAGTCGGAGACTAGCCTGGCCAACATAGTGAAACCCCATCTCTACTAAAAACAAAAACAAAAACAAAAACAAAAAACAAAAAACAAAAAAATATTAGCCAGGTGCGGTGACATACACCTGTGGTTCTAGCTGTTTGGGTGGCTGAGGCAGGAGAATTGCTTGAACCCAGAAGGCAGAGGCTGCAGTGAGCCGAGATCACGCCACTGCACTTCAGCCTGGGTGACAGTGAGACTCTGTCTCAAAAAAACAAAACACAAAAAAAACTAGTGCAAGTTAGGAGTGTCATGGAATACCCACAGGCTGAAGCAGTTGGTCACTGAGCAAATAATGCTTGAATTCAGTAGAAGTAAGTTGATTGGTGACTCCCTTGGTATCTGACGGCAATGCCACCTTTCAAGTGTAACTAAAGAGAAAACACCACTGAATACTCATTTTGAAGAGAATAGAATTGAAGATGAAAAAGCATATGGTGTAGGTTTTTTTGAGACAGGGTCTCATTACCCAGGCTGGAGTACAGTGGTGTGATCTCAGCTCACTGCAGCCCTGACCTCCTGGCTCAGGCAATCCTCCTAACTCAGCCTCCTGAGTAGCTGGAACTGCAGGTGCACACAACCATACCTGGCTAATTTTTGCTTACTTTTCAAAGAGACAGGGTTTCACTGTGTTGCCCAGGCTTGTCTTGAACTCCTGGGCTCAAACAATCCTCCCACCTCAGCCTCCCAAGTACCAGATTCATTTCTTTTTTTCTTTTTTTTGAGATGGAGTTTTGCTCTTATTACCCAGGATGGAGTGCAATGGCATGATCTTGGCTCACCGCAACTTCCACCTCCCAGGTTCAAGTGATTCTCCTGCTTCAGCTTCCTGAGTAGCTGGGATTACAGGCATGCACCCCCATGCCTGGCTAATTTTTTTGTATTTTTTTAGTAGGGATGGGATTTCTCCATGATGTTGGTCAGGCTGATCTTGAACTCCTGACCTAGATGATCTGCCTGCCTCAGCCTTCCAAAATTCTAGGATTACAGGCGTGAGCCACCCCACCTGGCTTCTCTCTCTCTTTCTCTCTCTCTCTCTCTTTTTAAGATGGAGTCTCACTCTTCCACCCACGCTGGAATGCAGTGGAATGATCTTGGTTTACTGCAACCTCTGCCTCCTGGGTTCAAGTGATTCTCCTGCCTCAGCCTCCCCAGTAGCTGGGACTACAGGCGTGTGCCACTACGCCCAGCTAATTTTTGTATTTCTAGTGGAGACAGCATTTCACCATATTGGGCAGGCTGGTCTTGAACTCCTGACCTCAAGAGAACCTCCCGCCTCGACCTCCCAAAGTGCTGGGATTGCAGGTGTGAGCCACTGCGCCCATTCTCCAAGACCACCAGTTCCATTCTCTCTGTGAATCTTAACGGTGACTTGATGAATATGAATTTATTGGTTGATTTAGGGACCAGTGACTTTCAAGGATGTGGCTGTGGTTTTCACTGAGGCAGAGTGGAAGAGACTGAGCCTTGAGCAGAGGAACGTGTACAAAGACGTGATGCTGGAAAATCTCAGGAATCTGGTCTCGTTGGGTAAGGACATGTTCTCTTCCTTCATCTTTCCATTCAAGTATTTCCTGACTATATTCAGTGTGCCAGCAATGTTTTAAATCTCTTAAAACATATTAGTGAATAGAATGATTAAGCATTTCTTCTGTCATGGAGTTTACATTCTCGTATAGGCAGACTGACAATATACAATAAGAAGCATATATAGGTAAATTATATATGTCGAAGGATAATAAGTGCTACATAGCTAAAAATATATATATATATATAAAAGATATATATAAATATAAGTACAGGAGATTAAGAAAGATCTGAAGGGCCCGGGCATGAAGACAACTGGCTGAACTTTTTTTTTTTTTTTTGTTTTTTTTTTTTTTTGAGACGGAGTTTCGCTCTCTTTACCCAGGCTGGAGTGCAATGGCGCGATCTCGGCTCACCGCAACCTCCGCCTCCTGGGTTCAGGCAATTCTCCTGCCTCAGCCTCCTGAGTAGCTGGGATTACAGGCACGCACCACCATGCCCAGCTAATTTTTTGTATTTTTGGTAGAGACGGGGTTTCACCATGTTGACCAGGATGGTCTCGATCTCTTGACCTCGTGATCCACCCGCCTCGGCCTCCCAAAGTGCTGGGATTACAGGCTTGAGCCACCGCGCCCGGCCCTGGCTGAACTTTTAAATTGTGTGAGCACGGTAGGCCTCTATGAGGAAGTACATTTGGGCAAAGGCTTGAAGGAGGTAAGGAGGTTGGATATGTGGGTCTGTCGGGAAACTGCTCCAGGCAGGGGGAAAGCTGTGCTAAGGCCCTGGAGGCAGGAGCATACCTAGTCCTTTGCAGGAAAAGCAAGGAGGCCAAAGTGGTTGGAGCACAGAGAACAAGGAGGAGAGTTGTAAGAGATGCCTTCTATGACCTAGGAGTTGGAAATGTTTAAGGTTTAAGGTATAAATCTGTCAGTCTGATGTTTATAGATTACTGGATATCATATATCATGTTTTTTTTTTTTTTTTAAAGAGATGGGATTTCTCCTTGTTGGTCAGGCTGGTCTAGAACTTCTGACCTCAGATGATCTGTCCGCCTTGGCCTCCCAAAGTACTGGGATTACAGGCATGCATACATCATGTTTTTATTCACTTATTTAAAAACTAAAATTGATTATTAGGTTGGCAAGGACAAAAGTATTCTAGATATTCCTGAGTTCTTGATGAGAGTCATATTTTCAGAGTTACAAATTCCTGTCAGCTGCTTTCTCAAGGCTTATGTTCATCTGATGTAGCTATGAATTAAATAGTTCTGATTTGTTCTCTTTGCATCTACTTAGACCTATATTGCACTGCTTCTCTCTAATTTGAATTGGGCTCATTTCAATCCATTTGGCTTCTAACTCAGTTGCCTACTTCTATTTCAGTGTAGACTCATCCATTTAAGTTTGCTTTCAATTGGCCAGTCTGATTTGGTCTTGTTTTTACCTTGTTTCATCTGATCTTGTTATTCTCTATCTTTATGCTCATACATTTTGTTGATTCTGAAGAATATATTAAAATTGCCTTAAAATAGTCTGATTCAAACTAATTTTGATGCTGAAACTTTGGATCTCATTGGATCCATTTCAGGTGTTAAGCTGTTTTCGTCTTTGATTCATCCTTCCCTTTCTTTCTACATCACTTTTTCTTTTATTGCTGAATTACTTAAAGCAAATCTCAAATATCATGACATACCACTCCTGTTATATCACAATGAAACTCCAATAAATAAAGACATTTTCTTTTTTTCTTTTTTGTTTTTTTTGAGACGGAGTTTCACTCTTGTTGCCCAAGCTGGAGTGCAATGGCACGATCTTGGCTCACTGCAACCTCTGTCTCCTGGGTTCAAGCAATTATTCCGCATCAGCCTCCCAGTAGCTGGATTGCAGGTGCGGCACCACTACACCGAGCTAGTTTTTCGTGTTTTTAGTAGAAATGGGGTTTCACCATGTTAGCCAGCCTGGTCTTGAACTCCTGACCTCAGGTGAACCGCCTGTCTCAGCCTCCCAAAGTGCTGGGATTATAGGCGTGAGTCACCATGCCAGCCAGGACATTTTCTTATATAACCACAGTATCATGACCAGAACTCACAAAGTTATTAGTAGTGCTTCAGTATCATCCAACACCTAATCCATGTTCAAATTTACCTGATTATCTCAAAAAATTGTTTTTGCAAATTTGAATCAGGATCCAGATGAGATCCACACATTCCATCTTCTAAAAAATTATCTTTTATTTTTTCTTGAGACGAAGTTTCACTCTTGTCCCCCAGGCTGGAGTGCAATGGCGCGATCTCAGCTCACTGCAACCTGCGCCTCCTGGGTTCAAGCGATTCTCCTGCCTCAGCCTCCCGAGAAGCTGGGATTACAGGCATGCACCACCATGCCCAGCTAATTTTGTATTTCTAGTACAGGCAGGGTTTCTCCATGTTGGTCAGGCTGATCTCGAACTCCCAACCTCAGGTGATCTGCCTGCCTTGGCCTCCCAAAGTGCTGGGATTACAGGTGTGAGCCATCACGCCCGGCTGGTAGAGGATAATTTTAGTATAATTGTAGATATTTACAGAGCTGAGGATGTCTCAGATGCCTACTTGGAAGATTCTCTGTTGGGATAATATATAGAATAGATTTGATTGTGGGTTTTTTTTGGATTAAAGTAAAATATGTAATATGTAAAAATGGAGTGCAATGCATAATCTTAATCTAATCATGGGAAACAAGGATTTTTTTTTTTTTTTTTTTTGACAGAGTTCCACCATGTTGTCCAGGCTGGTCTCGAACTCCTGAGCTCAGGCAGTCCGCTCACCTCAGCTTCCCAAAGTGTTGGGATTACAGGCGTGAGCCACTGCTCCTGGCCCTTTGTATTATTCATATTCTTATACTTTTCTGTATATTTGAAATGATTTCCAAATCAAAAGTTTGAAGAAGTTGAATGGAAATATAGGTCCTGCACAGCACATCTTGGGGAGAGAGACTTTAATCACTGAGAATGATTAATGGGCTAGGTCTTTTCATAAAACAAGAGCCCAGTCAGCCCTTCCTGTGACTCTTCTGGGAACTTTCTGTCTTCAGCAGAATCAAAGCCAGAAGTCCATACCTGTCCCTCTTGCCCTGTGGTCTTTGGCAGTCAGCAATTCCTTAGCCAAGATGAGCTACACAATCATCCTATTCCAGGATTTTATGCAGGAAATCAACCCACCCAGGAAATCCCTGCCAGGAGGATCAGCCACAGCCACATCGTCCTTCTGATAAAAATCACAGGGGGAGCTGAAGCAAAAGATTAACGAGTGGAAGGAAGCGTCAGACCCTTGTTTTGGAGTATAAATGAGAGAGGGACTTTAGTGGGCTTCTCTGGCCTGTTCCAGAGACCACCAATAAGCTCTCAGGGAGGCAATAGAATATTAGAGATCCAGCTCAGTCCAGCCCAGGATGCAAGCTCTGAGGAAGTAGACAGAATTTCCAAGAGGGCAAAAACCCCAGGGTTTGGAGCCGTAAGGTTTGGAGAGTATGCACTAGCTTTTAGCCAGAAGTCAAACCTGTTCAGACAGAAGGCAGTCATCGCGGAAAAATCTTCAGATAAAAGACAGTCACAGGTGTGCAGGGAGTGTGGGCGAGGCTTTAGCAAGAAGTCACAGCTCATCAGACATCAGAGGACGCACACAAGAGAAAAGCCTTAACGTCTGTGGAGAGTGTGGGTGAGCCTTTAGCCGCAAGTCACACCTCACCCCACATCGGAGGACACACGCAAGGGAGAAGCCATTTATGTGCACGGAGTGTGGGTGAGGCATTTATAACAAGTCACACCTCATTCAGCACCAGAGAATTCACACAGGGGATAAGTCTTACGTGTGTAGGACTGTGGTGAGGCTTTGTGAGGAGATCGTGTCTCATCAAACACCAGAGGATACATTCAGGTGAGAAGCCTTTTGTTTGCAGAGAGTGTGGGCGAGGCTTTCGTGATAAATCCACTCTCCTTATACATCAGAGGGCACATTCAGGGGAGAAGCCTTATGTGTGTGAGGAGTGTGGGTGTGGATTTACCCGGAAGTCGACACTCAAGTCACGCCGGAGAACACACTCAGGGGAGAAGCCTTATGTATGTAGGGAATGTGGATGGGGATTTAACAGCAAGGGAGTCCTCAACACACACTGGAGGACACCCACGGGAGCGAAGCCTTACGTGTGGCGAGTAGCCGCAAGTCCACTCTCAGCTCACATCAGTGGATACACTTCGGGAGAAGCCTTCACAGGGAGTGAGGGTAAGGTGCTGGTTGGAAGTGGCCCCTTAAGAGACACTGGGAGTCAAATCTGTCCACTGTACGCCTACCCGGTCTAGTTCTAAGGGCTTCAGGGACAGTCTTCTGACCCCTTATATTCCTGCAGATGTGAAGATGGCGGAGCTCTAACTTCAGAGAGCAGAGGTGCCAAGTGACGGTCCTCTTGGAGGAATGGTCTTTGCACCTGACTACTTCCTCCTGCCGCTGTGTTCTTCCATTGGCTTCTGTGACACTCTTCTGCTTCATTTTTTTCTATATCTCTAGCCTTTGCTGTATTTTCTCCTACCCCACATTTAGATGTTACTCACAGTTCAGTCTCCAGCCTTATGATCTGAGGGACTCCTTAACCAGGTCCGCTTTCTAACCCTCCAGTCCCAAGTCCAAGATTATTTAACCACACTCTAAAAGTTCTTTAGACTCAGGACTTAAACCTCACAGCCATGCCATGTTGGCCCTCAATGACAGTGATGACTACTAGCAATGCCTCATCATCGACCTTCCAATGTTAGGTTTAAGGGTATTTAAACACAGCTCCTCTTAAATCCTCCAATCTCAGTTCACAGTGTTTTAGCCACACTCAGGTGGCTAAATTACGTCCAGTAATGGTGCTAAGGCCTGTAGCCAACTGTCCCACACTCCCAGGGCCCATATGGCCCAGGTTCTGACAGTTTGCCTTACTCCCTTCTTGGCCTGGGTCAGCCCTACCTGACACCCTCTGTCAATGAGTGTACCTTGGAGAGCTGTCCATTCAGGCCCCAGTGCCTTTATTTGCTAAGAGACTCTTTGTTTCAGAAAAGAAGGGGAGAGACGTTTGGGTAGCCTCAAATTACTTTGGCTTGGTTTTGATGCTGGAGAGGAAGAAGGACTTGGAGAGAGAAAAGAAGTTACTGGCCCAGAGACTTTTGTCCACTCCCTCTCACTGGAAGTGGTTGATCTCCAGGGAATCCCCAAGGTTAGCCTGGTTGGGGGAAGGGCTAGAGGTACCTGGAATGTAGTTTCTCCTTACCCCTGCGTGGCCTACAACCCTAATGCTGCCCCTTTCCCATGGCCTGAGCTAAAAGCCACAGTGTGTGTATGTGTGTGTGTTTAGGGGTTGCTGAGCAGGGGAAGGGTGGGTCACCATCATTCCACAAGACCTCAAAGTTACTTCTCCCATGGAAAACCAAAGTGGAAAAATTAAGGATCATACATCCTCTTTAAACATGACAGGGAGAAAAAAATGTTCATTTTATATATATAAGTGAAAATTTTTTTTTTTTTTTTTTTTTGAGACAGAATCTTGCTCAGATGCCCAGGCTGGAGTGCAGTGGTGCGATCTCGGCTCACTGCAACTTCTGCCTCCCAGGTTCAAGCAATTCTCTGCCTCAGCCTCCTGAATAGCTGGGATACAGGTACCCACCACCACACCCAGCTAATTTTTGTATTTTTAGTAGAGATGGGGTTTCACTATATTGGCCAGGTTGGTCTTGAACTCCTGACCTGTGATCCACCTGCCTCGGCCTCCCAAAGTGCTAGGATTATAGGTGTGAGCCACCGCGTCCGACCTCATTTTCTATTAAAATCCATGTAAGCACTGTAGAGACACCACACAGGTCTGGCCCAGTGAGATGACTGTCAGGTCCAGGCAGTCACAGGAAGAGATGCAGAGGGTATCTCTGTCTAGGCCAGGGCAGATGGCTTTGGATGCCATCTAGTCAAGAATTACCCCTTCCTTTGTCTCTTCGAAAAGAGAATGAAATCAGGGCTGTAATGGCCTCATCTCTGCAGCAACAGGCTGGAGGTGTTGTGAGACCTTCGTAGTAAAGGGTTGCTGGGGAAGGGGAGGGGTAGGGAAAGGTGTTTCTGGTGTAGGGGCTGACAGCTCATTTCTGAAGGATGATATGGAGCTTCATTCAAGTGACTGCAGGGCCCAGTAAGTCAAACTGAGATCAAGGTGGCCTGTCTCCCTGCTGACCTCATCCTTCAACCCCACCCCTAAGGTTCCCTGGCTCTGCCCATTTTTCTACCATTGTATTTGGCCCTCCAAATCCCTCATCCCCTTTCCTTGAACTTTGTCCCTCAGTGCAGCTTCTCCCTCAGCACATACTTAGGGACTGTTCTTTATCCCTTCCTGTGGACTTGTTCTTCAGCACTGACTTTTCCCTTTGTTTCTCTCTTTTTTTTTTTTTTTTTTTTTTTGAGATGGAGTTTCACTCTTGTTGCCCAGGCTACAGCACAATGGCGCAATCTTGGCTCACCGCAACCTCCACCTCCCAGGTTCAAGTGATTCTCCTGCCTCAGCCTCCTGAGTAGCTGGGATCACAGGCATGCGCCACCCTGCCTGGCTAATATTGTATTTTTAGTAGAGACAGGGTTTCTTCATGTTGATCAGGCTGGTCTTGAACTCCCAACCTCAGGTGATCTGCCTGCCTTGGCCTCCCAAAGTACTGGGATTACAGGCGTGAGCCACCGAGCCTGGCTTGTTTTCTAAATTTTATTGAAGTGGTGCCTGCAGGGTAGGATGGTAGGGGAGAGTGCTTTGGGAGGAGCCACAGAAGGCTCTGGAGGGGCTACTTGCCACCTCTGCTACTTGCCCAACATCTGGGGAACAAGGATAGAACCTCCTAAGGTCAGTTCCAGCTGTCACTGATTCCCTACCTTCTCCCTCTCTGAGGAATGGCTCTACCTCACTTTGCCACAGTTTTAGCGTCTTAGAGGTCTGCATTTATAAGCCACTTTCCCATAAGCCTTTGTGGGAGTGCTCACTCAGTGCAATCCCAGGGGTCCTAGTTTTCTGCAGCTGTTCCTTTCCATCATCACTCCATTTTCTCCCCTGCCTTGTTAACCCTCCTTTCCTATTTTGAGGGTCCCTTCATGCCCTGGCCTCAGGAATTCCTCTTTCTAGGCCTTGGAGTAAGGTGAGAATCAAGATCTCCACAACTGGCTCCAGTGATTCAGATGCTGGGCCCTATGGTAAACCTCTCTCCAGGAAAGAAACGGGTGAGGGTGGAGCGAGGCTTGGGCATTTATAATGAGTCTTAAGGGGGATCATGGGCTCTTAGAACCTTAGAACTCAGGACTTGTGAATCCTGTGTAGGTCCTGGAGGACTGGGATAAAGCTGGGTTCAGATTAGGGATCCGAGGCTGCCACCATTGGGGGAAATGAATCCCACTGTTCACTCTGACTCCAGGTGATTCAAGGGCCCTGATTCCCTAGGGCCATATTTGATTAGGAAGAGTAAGCCCAAAGGAGTGGTTATGGAATGATGAATGTGTGGGAGGGAGATGGTTAGATGAGGATTTGAACTTGGAGGTTCCAATTCCATGGGGGAGGATTTTGTGTGGTGGGAGGCTGACAAGTGAGAAAATCTGAAATGTTCTAATAGATAATGGGAAGAGGTATCTGTCTTTTGAAATATCCAAGCTTTTATAGATTTCTATGTTACCTCTTATTCTCAAGCTGAATCTATACTGAAGATTTAAAAAATCTGGTATATCTGGGCCAGGCGCAGTGGCTCACATCTGCAATCCCAGCGCTTTGGGAAACTGAGGCTGGCAGATTACTTGAGGTCAGGAGTTTGAGACCAGCCTGGCCAACATGGTGAAACCCTGTCTCTACTAAAAATACAAAAATTAGCTGGTTGTGGTGGTGGGCACCCCTAATCTCAGATACTTGGGAGGCTGAGGCATGAGAATCGCTTGAACTTGGGAGGCAGAGGTTGCAGTGAGCCAAGATTGCACCACTGCACTCTAGCCTGGGTGACAAATCAAGACCTTGTCTCAAAAAAAAAAAAAAGTTTTTAAGTCTTAATAAATGTTTCATGTGATTTTAACTAAAATGTACACAAATGATGAAATAGAAAATGAATTTACTATTTTGTAGTAAATTACAAATTTGTTAAATACATCTAATCATCTTATGCCATTTCATATGGGTATAAATAAACATTTTTAAATGTTGGAAGTTATTCTCTTATAGGAAATAATGGTCATATGGAAGTTAGTTTTGTGTCTGGCAGATAGTATAGTAGTTGCACACAGTGTGTTATCTTTTTTTTTTTTTTTCACTACCAAATGTACCTTTGGAAGATGAACCAATCCTTAAAGCCCAGCTCCCCATCCAGGCTTTTTCGTTTCTGCCTTATTGACCTTGTCCAATCAGTTCTCTGACAGTCATTAAGTCATTAAAGCTGTGATTTCTCTTTCTAGGAGTCTATGTCTTTTCTGTTGAACCGGCCAGAAGGGAACTGAGATCACTTCTTTTCATGTGACAGTCCCTGGATGGGAGAATCCTGTGACACACATGAGCATTCTCAGTACAAGCATGTAAAACATTCATGACAGTTATACAGTCTGCTGGGAGCCACAACAGGACGCTGGATTGGCTCAAAAGTCCCACTTGGCTGGGCACAGTGGCTCACGCCTGTAGTCCCAACACTTTGGGAGGCCAAGGTGGGTGGATCACCTGAGGTCAGGAGTTGGAGACCAGCCTGGCCGACATGGTGGAACTCCGTTTCTATTGAAAATACAAAAATTAGCCTCATGAGGTGGCGGGCACCTATGATCCCAGATAGTCAGGAGGCTGAGGCAGGAGAATCACTTGAACCTGGGAGATGGAGTTTGGAGTGTGCTGAGATCATGCCACTGCACTCCAGCCTTGGACAGAGTGAAACTCTGTCTTAAAAAAAAATTTTGACTAATTCTGCTACAACCAAGATTTAGGTGTCTGCTACACCAGACCCATCTCCAGAGACCTTTTATGTGAAGATTCCAACGTGACCTACTGATGTTTTCCAAGCTGGAAACATCTATGATCAGGCACTGCAGAAATAGTACCTGGCGAACATTTGTACTTCTTATCCTTAGAACATTGGGCCCTTCCAGCTTAGAATTTAGATTTCCTTGTTACTGGGGACAGAGTAGGGAGATATTTCTACCTATTTCACAGCAAGTGTCTGCTAAACTAATGCTGTGACTAACTTGGTCATTCTGGCTTTCCCATGATGGTAGGCTGGCAGGAAAAGGGAGGAGCCATTATATTTATGTAGGTCATTGACCCTGATTATCATGCATGCTGATGTTGCTACTCAAGTATGTCTGAACCCAGGAGATTCTGTGAGTGCTTCCATACTCAGGCATAAGCAACAATGGGCACTTGCAGCAATCACAGCTCTCTATCAGGGTAAGTCAGCTAAGGGATCTGAGCTCTTGGAGGTGAAAGTCTATGTTTTCCCAGTAGGTAAGCATCTTCGACCTGTAAGGGTTGACTCGGGGGGCAGGAACTATAATATGGTTAATAAAGGAGGGAGGTTAATGAGAATCAATTTGCCAGGCGCGGTGGCTAACGCTTGTAATCCCAGCACTTTGGGAGGCCAAGGTGGGCGGATGATGAAGTTGGGAGTTCGAGACCAGCCTGACTAACATGGAGAAACCCATGTTTTCTACTAAAAATACAAAAAAAAAAAAAAAAATTAGCTAGGCGTGGTGGTGCATGCCTTAAATCCCAGCTAGTTGGGAAGCTGACTTGAACCCAGGAGGCAGAGGTTGCGGTGAGCCGAGATTGTGCCATTACACTCCAGCCTGGGCACCAAGAGTGAAACTCTGTCTCAAAAAAAAAAAAAAAAAGAATCAATTACGGCTTCAGGGCCAGTTGCAATGGTGGGAAATGTTACCTTTTCCACTAATCCACTTATATCGAGTCTTAAGTAGAGATTGTAGCTCACCAGGTTCTTGCCTGGCTCTGTGATATGCTGAGCTACATGCAGAGCTGGCGCATGGGCGGACCCAAACACAGGCAGGGGAGGACAGCACTGTACAACTTTTTATGCTCCATCTCACGTCCTCTTGGCCCACATTCTTACCCTGACCATAGCTGCACTCAGGTGAAATCAAAGACCTCCTCACTCTTTCTCTCGTGTTCCTTCTATGAGCTTCTCTGCTGATGCAGTGTGGGAAGCCTGCAAGAGCCCCTCAGCCTTTCTGGCAGCATGCAAGTCTGGGACTGCAAAGAGGTTAGGTCTCCCTGGCAAATCACTGACAATGGATGATGGAAACCAATGGGCAAACAACCAGCCTCCTAGGCTTTGGTGGGAGACAGAGGACCACCAAGTAGATTGAAGCACTGTTGTCCACCATGGTAACCAGCTCAATACTCTGTTCTTGGTATGGCTTTCCCTTCTCCCTTCTTTTACGCTCTTAGTGTCCTGATGCCTGTTTTCTGAGGTCCCT